AAATTGGTGGAAAAAAAATTCCAGCACAAGGGGCGAAGGGGGTTCTTCACAGTAAGATCAGTTAGGGTCTGGAACTCACTGCCACAGGCGGTGATTTCAGCAAAGAATGTGGAATTGTTCAAGAAACTTTTGGACGATTTCTTAAGGGACCGCAATATACAGGGGTACAGGTACTCCTAGAATGAGATCGTAATAGGTTGGACTTGATGGACTAATGTCTTTATTCAACCTCAAATACTATGTAACTATGTAAGTTTGCTGGGTTTAACTTGGCTGGATTTTTGGGGGCATGGCCAAGCCATGGACGCGTGAGGAGTGAGACCCTGAAGCTCTGGGCCCGACTCACCATTTACCTTACTCTTTCCATCATCCCCCACCTTTCAATCCACCCATGTCGAAGAAGGGCAAACAGAAGGGACAACGGTCCACGCCGAAGACAGCTTTTAAGAAGCTCTTCGTGCGTCCGGACACCCCCACAGACATGCGGCCTACCTCCAACACCGCATCCCCGGACTCTCCTACGGCGCGGTCGCCGGGACGTGACGTGGCATTGGCGGCGGGACCGGGGACATCAGAGCGGCAGAACCGACTAGACCGCCGGGTCCAAGGTGAGCCCACATCCTCGCTATTCCCTGGAGCCATGTCCCCGGAGGCGCTGGCTGATCAGTTAGGAGGGAGCCAGGCCGCCATGTCACCGCTGCTGGATTGTCATGCAAGCCCGTCCTGCCACAGCCCACGGCCCCACCGCTGCTACAGCACTTAATGAGCTCTCCCCGGCCACACAGATCAGAGACCCGGCGGGACTCAGGGGATCACAGGGCTACAGACCAGGCATTCTCCCCCTTGCCACCTCGCCCACCCAGCAATACGTGCCCCCCTAAGCCACCATTGCCTCAGGGACAGATGGACTGGTCCTCCCCCCCGCTTCCACAGGTGGAGGGGGACTCCTCAGACTCCTGGCAATCGGATCCACAGCTGGGCTCCCTATGCCCCCCTGGAAACTGGCACCCCGTGCAGCATGATCAATTCCACATGACTACTGCCGATCTCAGGGCTGTGCTATGCTCTCTCCCTACTAAAGCAGACCTAGCAGCCATGGTGCCCACTAAATCTGATTTTGAGGCGTTTACATTCCGTATTGAAACTGCCTATAAGCAAGCGATCACTGAAGTTAAGGAAGAGATCGCCTCTGTCTCCTCCAAAGTTGTGGGACTTGAACGTTCCCAGGTAGAGCTGACTCGCAAGATCACGCAGTTAGAGGAAGGCCAATCCTCCGCTAATCATCAGATGACAGCTTTGATGCTAGGAGTAGATGACCAGGATAATCGAGGCAGGCGCAATAATATCCGCGTTAGAGGGATTCCTGAATCCACCCATGCGACTGACCTGAAGAACACCATACACGGCATCTTTAATCTGTTCTTGGATCGCCCCCCTGATACTGCCATAGAGCTTGACCGGGCTCACAGATCCCTGGGTCCTAGAACACAGAATGCTGAGCGGCCTAGAGATGTTGTCTGTCGCATTCATCACTACAACCTCAAGGAAGAAATCATGCGTCAGGCCTGGCGCAAAGGCTCCATTGAGTTTGACGGAGCCTCCATCCACCTTTATCCGGATTTATCCAGACATACCCTGCAAATGAGACGTGTGTTGAAACCTTTGCTGGACGCTATCAGAGCGGTCGGTGCATCCTACCGTTGGGGATACCCCTTTCACCTGATTATACGGAAATCGGAAAGAACCTTCCTCCCGCGGTCCCCAGATGCTCTACCGGACCTGTTCCATTTCCTGGAGCTCGCTCCCTTTGAGGTGCCCAACTGGCTGCTTCCACAAAGGGCCGGGCAGCCTTCCCTGGATACAGTGTTGCCCCCACGACGATCCCGGTCTCCACGAGGTTCTGCCCCTTCACATAACCGAAACGGAACCCCTGGGAGGGCCCGCCCCCGTCCTACCCGTCAGATGGAAAGGCTTTCACCGCCACGGCCCATGCACCCTGAACCGTAACAGTTTTTCTATCCTTTTTGTACACAGATGCCAAATGAGAAACTTGGCTGGATTTATTTTCGTTTTACAGATGGTTAATGTCTCATGAGAAATATTCTGTTATTTTAAACATTGATGGCAACATGCTTTAGCTGCAGAGTTAGGCCCTGTTCACATCTATGTGATGCGATGCCAAATATGATCCCGTCTTAAATGTTGCAATGTTAGGTGTGCTGTAGTGTCATTATTTCTTAAAGTGTGATTAGCTGTAGTAGGCAGTCTACAGTGGGCTGCCCACCGCTCACTAAGCAGCACCCTTGCGATGATGCATCACAGAGGTGTGAACGAGGGCTTAGGCCCTGTTCACGCTAGTGCGATTTGTCCTGTGTCTTCTGTCGTGCTGCACTGCACAACAATGCCTATTACATTATTCTTAATGGTACCTGTTCACATCAATGCAACATGATACAATATGATTTGTGGAAAAGTGCTGGTGCTTCTTTTGATTCTACACAGTGTATTTTTGGCCCCACAGTCTTTAAAGAAGACACATGAAAAACGCATGTAGATGGATTTTTGTGTGCTCTATCTGTCCCCAAAAAAGGGTATAAAATTCATTTCAGTACAGCGCTGCATGACGGAATAAATGTCAGTTAAAGTACCGCAGCGCTGAATACTGAAAAATGGCCTGGATGGGAAGGGGGTTTAACACCGCGGATGTCAACTGGTTAAGTCTCTCTAAAATAAGACTACACCTAATGATGTCACAGCAGATATTGTGAACATTGATAGCCCCTTATTAAAGTTGTAATTTTTTTTATAATAATTGCATTAACATATTTTTACATATACATTGATTACATTGAATAATGGTCTGACAAATTGACTAATACAAGAATGTTTTATAAAGGTACTGCACCCCTAAATTGATGGGAAATCCAACATTTTGAGTTTTCCTAGACTAGGAATAGAGGGGAAAGCTTCCAACAGGAACAGTTTTTTTGTACAGCTGGAAAAGTTTGGGAGAGAATTCCTCTTACTCTCTATTGTGTTTGCAGGATAGTGACATTAACAGGGCTAATTACAAAAGAGTTTGGAGAAGGCAGGAGAAGTGACCAATCTAGGACAAAATAGCTGATTTTGAAAAATTCTCCAATTCAGCTCACTTTTCAGTTCAGCTATGTTGTCATAGATTGTTCACTTCACCTGCCTTCTCCAAACTCTTCACCCTTTTGTGAATAGCCCTGTAATTCTCCCCAATAATGGAACACAAATGGGCAAAAAAATAAAATAAAAATCTGACCAGGGGATTTAACATACCCTACTACAATCGAATGAGATGATGCGTGGACCAATATGGGTTGGACTTGATGGACGTATGTCTTTATTCAAACCCAAATACTATGTAACATTTTTTTTTTCTTTTTCCCTTTTTTTTTTTTTTTCTTTTTGTTTTAGATAAGATTTCAGTTTTTCATGTACTGTAACTATTCCTATTAAGAAAGGACCTTTACCTAAATAGCTATAGTGCCAGGTGAATTCAGACTTTTGCAGCCTTTTTAGTCACCATATCTTTAGGTAAACTGTGAATTGTAAACATTATCTGACTTTTCTTTTGCAGCTTAAAAGTAAAGGGATGGCCAACCACTGCTTTGACTACAATCCACCTAGTGAGAATGAAGTCACTGGACAGAAAATTATTTTATACCCATGTCATGGTATGGGACAAAATCAGGTAATCTGCTGTGTTTATGCTAAACATATTATATAGATGTATAATTGTTGTTTATCAAGCTCTGACTAGGGGTGTTTTAAACTTTATCTGTTAGTTATTTGTATTTATATATTTTACAACATTTATTATTATACAGTATATACTGTACAATAAAATCTGTTTTACAAATAAATATTTACAGTTGTAATCAAAATTATTCAACCCCCATTGCAAATCAGTTCATTGGCAACATTTACAAACTTTCAGTTGTTTGCAATGAACAAATCAAACCAAAAACAATTGAAATAAATCAACATAATGGATGTTTCAAGTGGTTCTCTCCAAATTCAACTGAAAATGCAACGTTTAATGACTTCTGCAGCCAGCAAAGCACACATATGCAAAACAGTTATTGTTTCAAGCACACCTGATGAAACTAATCAAGGGCTTTATTAGTTGCCCAAGGTTTGCTTGAGCCAAAACACATGTAATACCTGAACTGGCTAGGGGTTTGTGGAGTATCACGTTTGACTGCATGTTAGAAATATGACCAAGTCAATTAAGTTAAAGTGACACTAAACGTAGGAGTTACATTTTAAAGATGCATTCAAGTACCCCAACTATGAACAAAACTATATCTTATTTGTGTATCACTCAGCTGTACATCCTCAAATCATCTCTGAATTCCTGCAGACACTGTCCTTCCTCTGGAGGGTGGCTACTTTCCTTCCCCATGGTCTCAGTGTGTGTTGTAAAGTAGCCACCGCTGCAAGCTCACTCCCAGGGATGGACTACAATCTCAAATTTAGTTTACTATTTTGTATTGAAATTATAGCCCCTCGGGGGGCGTGGCTTGCTCATGGCCGTGGATGGACGCTTGTAGAGAGCGCTGCGGCGGCTTACCCAGGAACGACCTGCTGGATCTAAAGCCATCACTCCTACGACCCCCACGATGGGAAGGACGGGCAAGAAGGGTGCCCAGACCCCTGCAAATAAGTCCACCCCCGCTGCTCGGCCGACGATCGGGGCCTTTTTCAGGCCTACGGGAGCTGTCGCCGCGGCATGACCGCGACATCGGGGACCCGCTCGACTCCGAGGCCTCCTCCCCGCGCCCACACATATCGCATGGGGACTCAGACTCCTCGCTGGTGGGAGATGACACCGCATCGGCGCGGGAAGAGGGGATGATACGCCGCTGCTTTGCCCTGCTGCCCGCGAAAACGGAGCTGGAGTGGATGTTCTCCCGCCTTGAGGCCTCACACCGCCAGGGCATGACGGAGCTCCGGGAGGGCCTGGCCGGCTTCAATCAACGCCTGGAGGAGGTAGAGTCCCAGACCAGTGCTGTGTCCCTGTCGGTCCACCAGCTGCAGGAGGAGGTTAGCAAGCAACATAACCTCGTACATCATCTCTGCCTGCAGCTGGACGACCAAGAAGACCGCCAGCGCCGCAATAATATAAGGCTACGCGGCATTCCTGAGGCCTTGGGCGCGCCCGACCTTAAGGCCACGGTTCTGGGCATATTCAACACCCTCTTGGGCAACCCCACTACCCATCCCCTTGAGCTAGATCGGGTGCATAGGGTGCCGGGCTACCGCAATCCATAGCAACCGCAACCCAGAGATGTGCTGTGCAGAGTGCACTTTTTCCAGCAGAGAGAGGCCATTTTGGCGAAGGCTCGGGATGGAGGTCCGGTGGACTTCGATGGGGCACAGATTGCGCTTTTTCCAGACCTCTCCCGCAAGACGCTGGCTGGAAGAAAAGCCCTCCGGCCCCTGACCCTGATGTTGCAGGACAAATCCATAGCGTATCGTTGGGGATACCCCTTCCAGCTGGTGGCTCGCCAGAATGGCAAATCGCACGTCCTCCGTTCTCCGGCTGACCTGCCGGGCTTCCTGCGTGCTCTTCATCTGCCGTCGGTGTCTCTGGATGAATGGCCCGACCCGACACTGCCTGACTGGGCTCCCCTGCCACAGGATCCATCTTGGCTGCCGGGTTTGTCCCAGAGAAAACGTCGCCGCGAGCGGCCGGACGCCGCCTCTTCTTCTGCTCCCCAGACATGAGCGAGCCGGTGTGAGATGTGTGACATGTGACGGTGTGACATGAGCGAGTCCCTCTCCCTGTTAATGCCGACTCCAGGCCCAGGCATCACCATTGTATACCAATCGGGATGGCTGGCGCTCTACCATGTTCATAATGGGTATCCCATCCTGGTGTGGCCCCAGGTTTGCATCAACACCCTTTTCCCCTCCCCTGTCACTTTTTACCTATCCCTCCCTCTTCCCCCTTTTTCTCCTTCCCCACCCTTCCTTCCCCTGCTCCCGTGACCCCTCCCTCTTTCCACATGAGGTATACGTTTATGTGCCTGTTTAAAGTGTTCTTTTTCCCTTTTACTCTGAAATCAGATCAGCTGACTTATCTGGGGGTCCGCATCCCGGCAGACCCCGCTGACTTATACTCTTCGAACTATGCCCCCTTACTACGCTCCGTTGAAGATACTCATCTCTCGTGGATGAACCTTCATCACACCTGGTTTGGAAGAATAGCCCTCTTTAAAATGAACTTACTTCCTCGTTGCCTCTACCTGTTCCAAACCCTTCCCATTCGCCTCCCCGCCCTTTTCTTCCGTCATATCGCATGGGGACTCAGACTCCTCGCTGGTGGGAGATGACACCGCATCGGCGCGGGAAGAGGGGATGATACGCCGCTGCTTTGCCCTGCTGCCCGCGAAAACGGAGCTGGAGTGGATGTTCTTTTTATGGAGACATCAGGGGTCTCCAAGACCTAGGGACCCCCAAAGAAGCGATCATCAGCTTCTCTCCAGCTTCTGAAGCTGAAGAGTGACACAAGAATGCGGAAGTAATGTAATATAAAGTATTGCTGCCTGTTTTTAAATTTGGGCAGGTTCCCGCTCGCGCACGAGTGGGAGTTGAGGCCTTGGGCGCGCCCGACCTTAAGGCCACGGTTCTGGGCATATTCAACACCCCCTTGGGCAACCCCACTACCCATCCCCTTGAGCTAGATCGGGTGCATAGGGTGCCGGGCTACCGCAATCCATAGCAACCGCAACCCAGAGATGTGCTGTGCAGAGTGCACTTTTTCTGTTCCCGCTCGCGCACGAGTGGGAGTGGCTGACGGGATGTTTAAATACGCCCGCTCAGATCTAGGAAGCTCCCGGCCGGCCGTATCTTTACAACAGCCGGTTGGGAGACGGTTGATAGAATGTGAAATTATTTTAAATACATTTTCTTTATTACATTCAGAACAAAACTATGTTTACTTAAAAGGTATGTCCGTAGCAAAATAAAACATGCAGTACATTTCTGCAATACATGCACATTTTCCCTTTTTTCTATCCATCTTAAGCACTTGGATACTTTTCTATTAACACTGTGAACCAATAATAAAATAGCAGTTTTTAGACAAATGTTTTTCATTGACTGTCTGTACCACTATGCAAAATAAAATGTTTAAGCATACCAAAAACGATATACTGTAAAAAAGATACGCAAAGTGTTTTCTGGGTAACCATGGATTTTTTGTTGTCTTTCTCCAGTTCTTTGAATACACTTCGTACAATGAAATTCGATACAACACTCGCCAGCCTGAGGGATGTGCAGCAGTAGATCCTGGCTCTGATCACTTGACAATGTATTTATGCAGAGAAAATGCAAAAGAAGTGCCTGAAAACCAGAAGTTTATTTTCAGAAAGGTATGTTCTCATCAGACAAAGTGTACAAAAAGCATGTGTCAAGCTCAAAAAATAACACTATATCAACTAGGGATGCACCAACACCATTTTTTACAGACTTAGTACGAGTACCGATACTTCCTCAGTGTCGTGTGACAGTTTTTCTAAAACAATACAGACTAATGATTTTAGGACAGTGGTGGAGCACCAGGGGCGCGGCCCAGCTGCAAATGCTTCAATCCTGGTAGTTCTGCCACTGACTCCAAGCTGTGGAGGGACTAAAAATTCCAGCAATACATTATACAGCAATGCAGAATACCACCAGCTAGAGAGGACTACACCAGGACTGTCCGGGTGGATGTGTGGACCCAGTATATAATGTAAGTCAGTGGGTAGTGAGGGAGTTACAGTATGTTCCAGACCTTTCGCAAAATTGACATAAGTAATAAAATACAGGTACATAAAGCTGCTGCATGAACTCACACAAGGAGCTTTAAATAAAATGTACCCAACCAAGGTGTACGGGTGGGCTCCACTGATGTTTTTCTATTATCTGCTACCTCCCCCATTCATAGTTTCTAGCACTGTGTCCCTTTTACTATTTGACTGAATATCCAGGGGCTTCCTTATGTTTGCACTGCCCTCTTCCATTATTACGGTTCAGAGGTTTGCTGTGTTGCATTTTACTTTTCATTTTACCAAGGTTGTTGCCCGGAGCTATTTTTTTAATGTACTTTTCAGGATACTTCCCCCATTACGTCTTGAACCCTCGGGAGTGTTTTTATCCTGGTGATTCTTTGAGAGGTTTTTTTCCTCGCGTAGTAATTCTTATTGCTTTTTTTCTTACTTTTCCTTTTTTACTTCTATTCTTTTCCTCTTTTCTTCCCTTTTTTCCCCCCCCCTACTTTTGCTTCCCTCTTATCTTTTCCTACCGTTTTTTCCCCCTCCTACTCCTGTCCTTCCTTTCCCCCTTTTATCCTGTCCTTCCTTTCCCCCTTTTATCCTTTACCTTCTATACCAATAACTTTCAGTTTACAGAGGTGGCACCCAGATTATTCATAATGTACAAGTTTCATCAATAAATGCCAGAGGCCTTAACATGCCTGAAAGAGGAAAATCCGTCTTACTGACTTAAAAAGACTACAGACGCAGGTAGCTTTCATTCAACAAACTAATTTTCTAACTGCCTTCCCCCCCACCAACACAACCCCCTACCTACCTCTGGATCTTTCCCCTATGGGTTCTCGATATCCCGGATACCAGGTGCCATGGAAGAACTCGCTGACAAACTGGACACCACTGCAATTGATCTGGCTTTCTTTATTCCCCGGTCGCCCTAGCTAGCACTTCGATTGTTTAGCACTCCACTGTTTATGACTTGAACCGGCGACCGAGTTTTACTGTATCACTTTGTATTTCTAAAAAATTTCAATAAAAATCATTTAAAACAAACAAAAGAAACCCATTTTTGTTACGACCAGATCCCTTCTTTAAGAGATGCATTTTTTCCATTGGGTTATCATTGTCTCAGTCATTGAATCCGGCTGCCAAATCAAAGGGAGTTTCCATTTTGCTCTCTCGTCTGGTTCCCTGGTCTTTTATTGACTCAATGTTAGATCCCGGGGGTTGCTACATTTTTGTAAAAGGCTCCATAGGTGGATCCAAAGTTCCCTTAGCTAATGTAAATGGTCCTAACTCTTGCCAGGTGGATTTTCTAAATTCTGTTCTAACCCGCCTTTCAGAAGGGTACCTAATTCTTGGGGGTGACTTCAGCCTCGTCTTGGACCCAAACATGGACCTATCTGGGGGTAATGTGGGAACCGCCCGTTTGTCTTACAAACACTTTGACCATCTTTTGCAGTCTTTCCAACTGGTGGACGCCTGGTGTCTGTTTAAGCCGTAAACGAAAGATTACACGTTTTACTCTCACCCGCATTAAAGTTACTCCCGTATTGACTACTTTCTCATTAGACATAGGGACCTACCCTTTCTGACTTTGGCATCTATTGGAAATATCTCTTGGACCAATCATGCACCGGTTTCTATTCAAGTTTCTTCTAAGGACCCAGGCCATAAATCATGGTGTTGGTGCCTTTAAGGAGTCCCTACTGCAAGATCCACTGGTTAAGGCTGATGTTGCACGTGAACTCAACTTTTTCTTTGCTGCTAATGTTACTCCTGGAAGCAACCCTGTGTTAGTATGGGAGGCCCATAAACCTTATAGAAAGGGCATCTTAATTAAGCATGGTTCTAGGCTAAAGAAGGAGAGGTCCTCTCAGCTCTCTCTCCTTCTGCAGAAATTGCATACCCTTGAGCACCGCCATAAGATTCTCCGGCTCCCTCGGTATGGTCAGAGCTCACTGCAGTCAGCCTTAAACGCCAATCTCTATATTCTTTTAGAGCTCGTGCCTCTTTGGCTCGTTATCGTGGTATATTCTATGAACACGGAGACGAGTGTGGTCGCCTTGTGGGAACAACACTTTCAAACATATGTTCTGCAGATCTCTGTATCTCAAAATCCAAGGGCTGCTGTTCCCAAAGACATCGCAGATACCTTTTGAATCGTTTTATTCAAAACAATATAATTTGCCTTCTACTCCTGATTCGGTCATGCCCTTGGAAAACCAAACTGATTTATTTTCGTACTTCTCTTCGGCCGGTATGTCCATACTGTGTGGGGAACTTTCTTATTCCCTGAAAGCTCCTTTGTCTATGGAGGAACTCGGAGAAGCCATTTAGCATGCCAAAACAGGCAAATCCCCAGGTCCAGATGGCCTTACTTTGGCATATTACAAACAGTTTGAATCTCAATGCTTATTACTTCCTGTCTACTGGTTCCAGATTGTCTCACAACTCTTTGTGGGCCTGCATCACAGTACTCTTGAAGGAAGGGAAACACCCTTCTTTCTGTTCGAATTATCGGCCAATTTGTATTGAATGTTGATCTCAAACTATTCATTAAAATCTTGGCAAATCGTCTTGTCCTTTATATCTCTTCGTTGGTGCAATTGGATTCACTCCCGGATGCCAAGCCAGGGATAACATTATCAAAGTTCTCAACCTGATCCATCAGACTTCTTCATCTTCTACACCTTGCCTTTTCATTAGTACAGATGCAGAAAGGCATTTGATCAGGTGAGTTGGTCTTTCCTTTACTCTATTCTCTGGTACATGGGCCTAGTCCTCAAATGCTGCAGTGGTTCAGGTAAATTTATTCCATTCCCACGGCCCAGGTTAAAGTCAACAGAGTTCTCTAGGAATCCTTTGGAATTTCCAACGGCACACACCAGGGCTGTCCCCTTTTCACCACTTCTTTATCCTTGCTTTGGAGCCCTTCCTTTGTTCGATTCAGAATAATCCAGACATAAAAGGGGTTACTTTGTTCGATTCAGAAGAATCCAGACATTGAAGGGGTTACTATCTCTAATAGGGAATATAAGGTCTCTGCTTATGCGGACGATATGCTGTTTTCCCTGACTAACTCAGAGATCTCTTTACCTGTTCTACTACAAGAATTTTGGAAATACAATGCTCTTTCTAATCTAAAGATCAATTTCCAGAAATCTGAGGTTCTTACGGTTGCTCTTGCTCACCGCCCTTGAGTACCACAGTACGTTGGCTGTGAGATAACTTCTCCTTCAAAGTAGCTAATGAGGCTATCGAAAATCTAGGGATGTGGATTCCAAACGATCTGCAACATATTTTTCAATTAACATTTTCCTCCCTTGCTCACTGAGGTCCGCTAAGATGTTTTAGGGAATATATGCCTTCTCATGCCTTACCAGATTCTCTGTGCCTTTTTGAAACATCACGTTGGTTCGGTGGTATTTTGTAAAATTACTACTGGAGTGATGGCTGTTCCGCAAACTGGTTTTCTGCAAAAGGACTTCTGACTATTTACATATATAGATTTATATTGTGATCTTAAAACAAGACTCTATTCCAGACTTGGTGTTGTTGGCCCACTAAAGCTGTTGTCTACATGCTCAAAAAAAGTAGGCGGGAAGCTAGAGAAGCACATAATGTGGTGCTATATTTGCTGACTGAGAGAGTCCATCTTTCTGGTTTATTGTTAGTTTAGTCTTAGATCATATTACCAGGCCACTGCCACCACCTTTTATTTTTTTTTAAGGTGGCTGTAAATTACCTAGGGCCCTAATTTTTAAAATGTATTTATGGGTAATGACCTGAGATGATGTTTGTTCTGGTTCTTTACAGGATAGTACCTTGCTACATCAACAAACCCAAAAGTGTGTTCAAGCTGGAAATTCTGAGCCCGTATTAAGGCCATGTTTAGATATTGATCTACAGAAATGGTTTTTCCAAGAAAGAAACTGAACTAATGGAGCTTCAACAGGAAGAAGAGCATTTGGCAGCTATGTGATGTCACTGTCACTTTTTTGTCTTGAATGTAATAGGGGCTATATTAGACTGCCTTTTGAAATGTCTCTTGTTTAGAGTAATGGATGGGGAAACACTTCCAGAATCTAGATGCAGTCATAAAGACGTGATTTTAAAGGTGATGGTGTGTAGTGAAAATGAGAAACGGTTCTTTTTTTTCACATATAGAAAATATGAAGAAATTGCAACTTTGGCATCTTTAATTATTTAAGTTAGCTAATAAAACAAATCACTTAAACTCTAAATTATAGTGGGTTAAACAAAAAGTTTAATTTGTCCTTTTACAAAAATTATAGATCTTGATTTCTGTAGGTGGAAGGTAACTATGACAAGCCTCTGTTTAATTTTATAATACAACATAAGCATTATGTTTACAGTTTTTCAAAAACTGTTGATTCACAAGTGTTTTTTTATCCTATGCAATTATTTAAATGCAAAATAATCACACTTGCTAAACTTGCTGCAAATCCTATAAAAGTATAGCGATTCTCATGTTCTTTGTAAAGTTGCTGCTCTATGCTGTGTGTCAGTAGATTTGGTTCTGCTAAATGAAACCTGTACTAAATGTGAAGGCGGCCATTGCTGACATTTTTATCACAATTGGGCAACTAATATTTGTTGCAGCAATCGCAACCCTTCTATTTTTTTTAGCACAGGTAACTCAATATTTGCTACCTTCTGTGATGAGCTGTTTTACAGCAGAAGTATTAGGAGTGTAAAATGGAGGAACAGACAGAGGGGGGCGGGCACAGCTGGCTCTGACAGTTGGCTCTGCCTCTCTAGAGCCAAACATGCAGGGGGGTGGATTCTGACAATATTGTTGGGTTTCGTCCTGGCTGCAGTACGGCTCTGCGCTGTCAGCAAATAGTGGGCAGTAGCCCACTAGATGCTGATTTGGGTCAGAGAAGTAGATTAGTAACTATACTCCTTTGACCCAAAAGAGAACTAAAGCCAAACACTGTTGCACTAATGTACTTTCTGACAGCAAATCATAAGTTTAATCCTGAATATCATTATTCTATAAATAGTATATGGATGTGGGTCGAGTAAATGTGTCAGGACCAAAATATGCAGTATGTTTTTGACATTTTAAAATTATTGTGATGGGTTACAGAGCTTTGAGCACTGAGGTTTTCATCAAAGTAATAATTAGGGTCCATATTGGTTCATGTTCTGATCACCATGGTAGCATTTTTGGCACGGTTTATGGAGTCTGTTTTTTTTTTTCTTGTCACTTGTCACTTGACACTTATCTACTGTAGGTCAAGAATGACATTGACTGTCCCGATAGGTAGATTTAAATTTTGAGCCTCATTGAAAACTGTTCATTTCAACTATCAGGTTTAAATGTATGACAAACCATATTAACTGATTGTTTCAGAAATTTTGGAACTTGTCTACAAATTGTATACATTTTTAAACACCAGGATCAATAGCCAAACGAAGAGACACATTGCGTGTGTGTGTGTAGAGATATATATTTCTGTGAAGTATCTCTCAATGTTTTCGTTTTTCCACTTTTATTTATAATAAATATAAATGTGTATTAAGATTTTCTAAACACTCCTTGATATTTGTTAAAGTATGCATGCTATTGGGGAAAGAATAAAGCTGCTGCTGTGAGGCCTTTAACCCTGAAACATAGAAGACTGGAAGCAGACAATGATGTAGATGTTCGCTAAGTTTGCCTTTATTTTCTTCTGTGGATAGATCTAGGTATGTTTGTATTAATCTAATTTTAACTGACTCACTTCCTCATTTGAAAGCCTGTTCCAAACATCCAATACACTGTCAGTAACATACTACAGTGATTTACTCTCAGGCTAGGTTCACACCTGCACTGCACCGCACAACACCTGGGACGCGCGTCCTGGGATTGCGTGGTTCTGTACAATGCAGGCAGCGATTGCTCTGTGGCCCCATTGATTTTAATGGGGTGACATTCGCGTGGCAATTGCAGAAAAAAGGTACAAGTACCTTTTTTGTTTTGTGATGCACAACGCATGGCTGTTTTAGCTGCGATTGTGTTCGGAAGCACGGGCGGACTGGGGTGCCATTAAAAAATAATGGCACCCACAGCGCGATCGGTTCACACCTTGGCGACTCCTGACCGCACGATTGCTCCGCGGTGAGGTGTCGCCTAGGTGTGAACCTAGCCTTAAACTTTGCTCCTGCTAGTTTGAGGTCCTGTCCATGTGCTCCTGAGCTCATAATCGTATGGAAATTAGTGCCCTCCTGATCGTTATTCACACTCTATGGATTTAAAAGTTTTGGTCATGATTCCTCCCTTTCCCTTTTATGAAGACTTTGCATATTCATTTTCCTCCAGTCTCGGCTGATATGTTTTATCCCTCTGTCTCTCTATATTGAACTCAAGATCACTTTCCTCCTGCTAGTGAGCTACCCCTGTATTCTTCTATACAATTTGTTTGACAAATCATTAGTGCACAACAACATTCAGTACTTTGAATCACTGACTTGGTGTATCTATAAGTATGCAAGATAAGGACTTTCCTGATCTGTGTTTGTTCTTGACCACGAAAGTATTTTGAAGCATGTGGGGCTCAGACTGTCGGCTAGAAAACTGCTGTTTTCAGGAGATCAACAATGAGTCTCAGTATTTCTCTCATAACAGGTTTGCTTACGTAACAAATAGTTTAAGCAAAATAATTGGTTAATTTTATGAATGCTTTGTCATTTTTCTCTAAAATGTTCACACTTATTCTGAGTATTCCCTATAAATAATGTGCTAAAATATGAAATGGTAAAATAATGTTAAGGACCAGGTGTACCCCTGAAGCTGTCATACAGTATACCTCTAGGGTTTACAAATGTATGAAGAACCTCTGCTCTGATGTAGGGATTTATGTATTACGTATAAAGGAAGTTTACGTGCCAAGGTTTTGTGTCTGTACTAAGCACAAAATGAAAATACTGTACATGTTTTGATGTTTGAGTTAATTTGCTGAATTTATCTTGTATGTGAAACGTTGATTTGTTCTGTTGCTGGGAAATTTCTACTATACATAATGCAATTGACTTTTTAAATTGTATTTAACAAAATTTGAACAAACTGATTTGCTGTAATGCTAATTTACAATAAATATTATTCAAATTGAGTGTGATATAGAGGGCAACTCAGAGGTCCTAAAAATCTTAGTTTTTGCAATAAAATTTGACTTGGCTTTATCACTAAGCTCTTCATAGCAAGTTTTGACACCTGAAAATGTATATGATCATACAATTTTCCTTTCATAACAGTTCTCCATGGCAGCATACAATATGGGTTAACCCCCTTCCCTTAGCCCCTATAGAGCCAGTGAATGGATAAAAATGACTGCAGCTGTGTTCCGTTACAGTTATCCTTATGTGTGAAAAGAAAACATATGGTAACTATAGTCATGACATTTTCTGGTTTTCCAGATGGGGTGGGAATGCAGACACAAAAATCAATTTAAATGCTGAACAGAAGCAACCTGAATAATCTTATTTGCCAACTGCTATTAGGGAGACAGACTCAAGCCGATAGAAAGCTAGCAATGTATGCAGAGAACTTCAACTTGCTGGTCTACAGATTATTGCGGTTGATGCTCTAGATTTCATCGCCAGTGAGGAAACCATGCTGGAAGCAGAGTGAGCATCCACTTTTGACGGTGGTTCTTTCCCTGGTATCTCTCTGCATGATGAACCTCATTACTTAAGCAGAAATTAACCTAATTGAGGTACACATTCCTTATGATTTTCACACAAATTATGAAGAGATCTTTTAATATCAGATATTCTTTCCACATATGCTTGAAGGATCTGGTCAGTAAACGTAGGTAGGGCCCGTATACGGTTCAAATGGAATTCCAAGGCCAGCTTTGGGAAGAATTTCAGTTAAAGAACCCACTCTATTGTCATGAAATGTTAAGAAAGGCTCTTTCCAAGAGGGTGCTTTATATGATACTGTCTTGCTGCGAGGAATATATAGCTTTGAATGTCAAGTTCTATAAAGAAATATATATATATTTATAACACCTGTGTTTAAAAAGGACATTTTACAAGACACATACATTTTACTTGAAACCTACACGGAAAGAATATGGAGGCTGTTTCCTTCTGAAAATGCTAGCTGCCCGCCATGCTGGTCGAATGGCTTTAATATTTTGAGGCACTGACCTAGAACAAGAATGGAGCTTGCACTTAGTGCCTGAGAGACTAAAGCCAGAAAGAGCCAGGCAACTAATATGTAGTATGCAACATGTAACATTCCAAATATATCTAGCCCACAAAATATGTGTAGTGTGAAAGCATGTACCCAAAACATCACACAAATACTACATTTTTCCCAAATGTATTAAGCTGACCCATACATATCACAATATTATCTGTTGATTATCTATCATATGACAGCAGCACATTTCATGCAGCTACAGGTCAGGAGGTTCACTAAGGCTGGATTTACACTGTTGTGGTGCATTAACGCATGTGTGTTTTTCTACAGGTAAAATTGCATTGCGTTAAGGAAGCCCATTGGCAAGAAAAAAAAAAGGTGCATGCACTATTTTTTTCTAATGCAGCGTACTACAATGCACAGGTGGTTGTTGCGGAGAACCACAAGGCAGGTGTGTTGGTAAGGTACATTAACCTCCCTGGCGGTATGATTATGTCAGGAATTTTGTACCAAAAGCGGTTGTACATTACAACTTTTCACTTTTGAATTTCCCGCCGGCTGTGACGCTCGTAAACTAAACTAAAAAAGTCAGATGCCGGCTTTTAGTTTCATTTTCGAGCCGCGTACAGCAGAGGACGCCGCGGGCTCGCAGGGACAAGGTGAGTGTCACTTTTCTGTGCAGCCCCGAGTCTGGCTCGGGGTTACCGCTCCTAGCATTGAAAATTCACCCCAAGCCAGACTCGGGATTACCGCCAGGGAGGTTAAGAATGAATGGCACTGCAGCACACCAACACATGTTTTTGTAGGTTAGCACAGCGCAACAATTTGAACTTTAGGGCTGGGATCAAACACTAGAATGAGGACAAATTGTGATCATTGGTGCCAGAAGGGCTGGTTTAAGGATTTCTGTAATTTCTGTTCTTTTGGGATTTTTTTTTTCTACATACAACAGTCTCTACCGTTTAATCAGAATAACGTAGAAAACAAAAACCACCCAGTAAGCAGTTCTGTGGATGGAAATACCTTGTTGATGAGAGGGGTCAGATGAGAATGGCCAGGCTGGTTCAAACCAGCAGGCTTCTGTAACTCAAATAACCCTTCTTTACAACTGCTGATCAGAAAAGAATCTCAGAATTCAAAACACTATCAAAGCTTGAGTCGGTGGGCCTATAACAGCAAAGGACCAAATTGGGTTGCACTCCTGTCACCCAAGAACAGAAAGCAGAGGCTGCAGTGGGTACAGGCTGACCAAAACTAGACAGCTGCAGAATGGAAAAAAAATGTAGCCTGGTTTGATGAATTTCTGTTAAGGCTCACAGATGGTAGGCCAGTCACTACTTCTGAATCCAAAAGAGCATTAACAGCATGGATTTACAGCTAACAAATATGCAGAACTCGTATGATGTAATCATATTAACAAGAACCAAAATCTCAAAAGGAATGGTTGTGGAATGTGAAATCCATACCCCAAAGAATTAGGACCAAGGAGAGAAAAAGGAGGACCTACCCAATATTACTATACAATTCCTAATAAATTACTTGGTGAGTGTACATGTCAGCACCTTTTAGACCTCAGCAGAAACCTTTTCCCGAAAGCTGCTGTTCCATTGTGAAAACAACAGGCCTGGATGTCTCTCTTTCGTACCTATTCAATATGCTTGTGTGTTAATGAAAGAAAACATGTAAAGAATTGATGGTGGAAGACAATGCATTTTCCTAAAGCTGTTTCACCAAACAAAGTGTTAAAGCCCAACTCAAACCACATTTTTTTTATTTTGGATAGAACATGGAAGGCTAGAGCCTCTGTCAGATTTGTATTTTGTCCCTGTCCTTATTGGGGTAATTTCCCTCAAAACGTTATGTCTAGACAAGGAGGGATGAGAAATCCATCAAATGGGGACACATAATTTCCTTCCCTTAGTTTTGTCTGACAAATGGTTTTATTGCCTTCAGCATCTTCCTGTCCTGGTAACACTTGCACCCACCACTGTATGGGACAGAAAGTGAGGAAACCTGCTCAATAGGATTTGAGTCAAAGATAAATTGGGGGGAAAAAATAAATAAAGTACGGTTTTGCTACTTTAAAACAAAGAAAAAAAAAAAAACTGGCTAAGACTTTAAATGTAAACTGGGATGAAGGACCGGATGGGCCAAATGGTCAGTTTGGGCCATCTCCTAAGGCCACCTATTCATCTCAAATTTCTCTCTCAAGACAATTCTTTGCCCCTCCGCTTCTTTCTGTCAGAGAAAATGCAGTTTGGTAGATTCAAAACTAGACACAATGTTAAAATGTTTACAAGTGTACCAAATAAACATGTTTGTTACACATGTCAGTGATGGGTTAAAAGGAAAGTAAAATGTGGTTATACGGAACAGGTTAGTGATTTTACACAATATTCATTTGCACGAAGCATTGGTACATTTTCTTTTTTCACAAAATTTATTGTACAAAACCTTTACAAGCCATATTTATTATGTACAGGCATACACTTTTCTGAGTTTCTGCTTTGTAGACTAGAAAAAAAAAAAAGGTAAAATAATGGATTTTTACAAAAAAAAGAAGAAGTGCAAACTAATAAATGGACGAGGGCACTTCCTTCTATATGTGCAGAGAGACTAAATTCGGGATCAGTTTGCACCTCAAAAGATAGTATTATGTCAAGTCACTTGCTGACCCACACATGGATTCCAGTTCCTGCATACAGCTTGCAACTGCTGGTGGGATGTCATTATTTGCAGACGCCTTCCATTCTTGTAGTGTCTTGTATATTGCAGCTGGGTCGCTTGGTGCCAAGTCAAAAAGCATATACACACATGCCAATTGCACTCCCCAACACATACCTTAAGAAAACAGAAGTATACTTCATGAGTATTTAACACAGAAGACCTAAATAATGCCACAGAAAAAGTATAAGAGTTCATCACAAATCAGGATAATTAAGGTTCTACAATACCTGCCCAATCATTAGTGTTTCCAAATAAAACTACTTGAAAAAGCTTTGTTTAGCTGAAAATGCACAAGCTTACCACTAAATGCAAATAGGCTGCTGTCTTTGCAAGGGAATTTTCCCTTGGCTTAGTGAATGAGGTGAAGCTCTGTTGACTTCCATCATCCAAAACATGTGCAAGCAAAAATATATATTTTTTTAATTTTCTTTGAACATGATTGGGTAATTATTTGCAAAGTGAATTTTCACCACATCCACTAAGCTCAGTGAAAAATCCTTTGAAAAGTGAACAGCCTATTTGACTTAAGTAAATCAACCCAAAAGTGTAAAGTATTATGAATATTGCATAAATATGCCTCCGGCAACTGTTACTACATATAGGACTTTATCTTTTCTGAATTTGTAACCATGTGTTGTGCCACAATAATGAGGTTTCTTTTTGTGATGGGAAATAATGCACAACTCATAGAAAACCAATTTACCGCTTGCATGTCTGGTGGCAGGTTTGCTTTAGTTTTTTAGCTCTGTAAATCATTATATTTGTGTAATCACTGAGCTGGCTGTTCAGAAAGCCTTGCACTTAAAATTTGTTGGGTATGACGTGCAAGCACCCAGAGGTGCCTGCACATACCCAGTAGCATCTTTCAGTAGCCCCGCTTCACCTGAATGGCCAACCTTTCTAACAAAGCTACAGCACCTGGTGACGAGGGAGCATGGAGCCGGCATCCCGGCCAATTAGGATCACAAAACCCAAAACAAACAGTACATTTTAAACCGGGCCTCTTATTCAGAAATCTTCAGAATCCACCAATGTCTGGATATATGGGATATTTTTCCCCTTCATTTCCATATGTTCATCACAGGTTGTTTCTTCTGTGTGTACAGATCCTTCTTCTACATCACTTCTACGAAATGCTAAGCAGTATAGCAAGTCCTAAGAATGCTGCAACCAAATTGTCTGCTTTTACTTAAAATTTTTAAAAAGCCAGTGGAAGGGGGTGGCATGTCAAAGCAATACTTGGCTGAAACATCAAGATTGACAAACTGTGCCTGCCTGAGCTTGGAACCCCGGAGCACACAAGACAAAATTGTATGTTTAACTTTTTTGTGTTTGTTGCAGAATAATATAAACAAAAAGTATCTTAAAATATTCTAAAATGTAACAATTACCTTCTTCATTAGCATGTTGTAGAAATGCAATGATAACAGCGCCAATGTTCTTTACAGCAGTATCAAAGCCTTCTTTTAAACCCATATGACACAAATACCCTGAAATAAGAAATTAGATCATTGAAAGTACTGTTTTACCACGGTGAGAAATCCACATCTTGCGCTCTCAACACTGTCCCTAGGAAATCCAATAGTCCCTTCAATTTTATGGAAATACTGCCAGTATCTCATCACATAGACGATAAATCTTAACAACAGTGCTCAGAATAGTCTGGGAGATAAAATAAGGAAGTAGTAGAGTGATATTGCAGGCTCTGCACTGTGGTAGATGTGTGGAAATAACACTGCCTGAAAAAAATTACAAATCTTTTGGCAGTTAAAAAAGTAAACTTAAAAAAAGTGTTTGGATGGTGTGCCACATTAACACTAGAACCCCATTAGTAAGTTTATGAAAAGTGTTGGTTGCGGTAAGTTTTGAAAGTACTTAGTAAGGTAATAACTAAACAGAAGCACATGTGTTGGTATCACATAAAATGGGTGCCGTTATAGCGAGCGATCTTGTCATAATCACCTAGTTGTTTGAATGAACAACTTATTCCATACTATACCACCGTGGTCATGTTAAAAGGGCTGAACTGGCCAAAGTAATAAATGACGCAACCTAGAGTTGGCTGCAAGTATGCTCACTGTAAAGGTGCCCATACACCTTGCGATTATCGTTCGAAAAACTATTGCGATTGGGTTTTCGTACGATAATTGGCCAGTTGATGGGAAGTGAATGATCAGAATTACTGTATTAGCTGTGCAAATTTCCTCGATTGGTCAGGCTGGAAAACTTTTTTTTGGGAATTTTAAGAAAATCGATGAATTAGTGGCACTTTCGTACCGGGGTGAAAAAGAAAAACATCAATACATTGCAAAATGAACACATGTGCAAACGAAAATCTGTTCCATTGATCGATAAAATTCGGCTACATAGTATTGTTAATGAACGATAATCGAAATCTACATTGGTCTGTGCATGATGACGTATTCGAGCGGAACTCGAAGGGGGGTTCTATGACGGGACAAAAAAAATCAAATGAGAATTGTAAGGTGTATGGCCAGCTTTATTTACATTTTTACTAGCAACTGCAGTGAGGGCCTCACCTGCCATTGAATCTCCTTAATGACCTGTGAGGTTGCAAATCACAGTTTTGAATCAACAAGGAGATGTGGAGCTGAGCTCTCAACCACATGATCTTTTGGAACAAGAGCCACCAGGTTTTCATGACCCAATATGATTGTGAACACTTATGCAGGTAGCACCAGGAACCTACCTCTCTTCTTGTTTCCGATTTAGTACTTTTAGGCTGGGTTCACACCTAGGCGTATCGAATATGCGCGTTTGTCACGCGTTTCGTGCCGCACGTTTTTACCGCGATTTGCGGTAAAAAACCGTGAGACAAACGCGCGTTTCCGAGGGCTATTTGGCTGTATCCCAATGGAAACGCGCAACAAAAACGCCCCAAAGAAGCTGCTGTACTTCTTTGGGCGTAGGGCGTTTTGTAGCGCGGTCATACGGCCTGTAATACGCCCAGGTGTGAACCATACCCATAGGAAATAATGGGATTTCGGTGTTTGAGTGTTTTGCAGAGCGTAGGCCTTAGGTCTCGTTCACACCTAGCCGTATTGCATATGCGCGTCTGTCGCGCGTTTTTTACCGCGATTCGCGGTAAAAAAGTTGCGCGACCGTCACGTGTTTCCGAAAGCTACTTGGCTGTATCCCAATCGAAACGCGCAACAAAACGGCCCAAAGTAGTACCTGTACCTTTTCAGGCGTGGGCCGTTTTGTAGCACGTTAGGGACGGGCAGAAATACGCCAAGGTGGGAACAAGACCATTGAATACAATGGGATTTATATTTTTGAGCGTTTTGTAGAGCGTTTGTCGAGCGTAGAACGCGCTACAAAACGTTCAGGTGTGAACGAGGGCTTAGAGAGCCACATGGAAATCTTATGTGAGTTGCCATTGCTGACCTCTTCTTTGGAAGATCCTAGCTGCCTAGTTTTCATGCTGTCCTCTGACCTCAATAGTTTCTCAATCATTAATTTAGAAAATGTTTGATTAGAAATTTTGACTTTGTTCTGATTTTACATGCTGAATGCTTACTTTGGGGTCAATTCACAAAGCTCAGCGTTATGAGAGCAGAAGTTAATTTATCTATTCTTATTTTACCACCCTTTATTTTGCTTGCTGAATCGTGAACGCACACGCAGTTTAACGTTCCTTAATTAAGTGTTATTTTAGCATCACAGACTTTATTTTATCTATTACTGTGATTATTATTTTAACACTTTTGCAGTGCATTTTGGTAGCAAAAGGGGTGGAGCAGATGCCTAGATGACTGTTACTTTCACCACACAAAAGGATTCCACATATAAGGAAGGAATATATTCCATATTCGCCACATGCATACTAATTTTACATTTGGTAGAGAAGAAATCGTATAGAAATAACAATAACTAATAATGTGGAATTGTTCAAGAAACTTTTGGACGATTTCTTAAGGGACCGTAATATACAGGGGTACGGGTACTCCTAGAATGAGATCCTAATAGGTTGGACTTGATGGACTAATGTCTTTATTCAACCTCAAATACTATGTAACTATGTAATATATGAAACATTAGATTTATTTAGATTACATCTGTTGACAACCAGACAGTGTAGGGAGGGCAAGCAATTCTTCTGACCACCTAAAGCCTGTTTTGATATTAAATTTGTTGCATGGAACAATCCGCTTGCTCTACAACCCCACTGTCCAGGGACATTTGCTTTTTCATGTCATGTGAGATTTGCCACTAACCTCTAACTGTAAAAAAAATCCACATTTGTAGAAGGATAAAAGCTGTAGAAATGACAAATAAATGCCGCCTTCTTCTGTACGCAAAAGCATTAAGCCATGTGAAAATGAAGAAAAAAGGTTCAATTTCTATCTACCTCTTGTCATCTCAGTGCAACAAGCATCAGATAACGCCTGAAGTCCGTCATAACGCCACCCTGAAGGTGGTGATGAATCTACGTCTCAATAACGAGCGATAAAAGGACCCTTTCCTTTTGTGAATTGCATTTGAAGCATATTTTAACACTCCAGTTGTTAAAATAACATCTGAATAGTTAATTTACTACTTCTTAAAAATCAGAAGCGTTATTGAGTTTTGTGAATTGACTACCTTTATACAGCAACTATATAACAAGCGATATCAATGAAATAACGGCCGAAATGAAGAAAATGAGCTTTGTGAATTGACCCCTTTGAGTTAGTGGCTTTGAAAAGACTGAAGAGCGAGCCAGGAAAATAGCATTTTTAGGTGAGCTCAGCCAACATATTTCCTGAAGTAAAGGTTTACTTTAAGACAGTAGTCTGTTTTTCAGAATGAGTGTTGTCAAATTTTTTTATGTTTTATGGTTTTTCCTTTTGTCCCCATCTTCTCAATACAGACAGGATATTAGTGAAACATACACACGAGTACCAGTAAAAGTTATTTGCCTCAGGTTTCATTCTGGACTTTGCTATTTATTGGACTGTTTTACACCATCCTTCTTAGTATACTGCTAGATCATTTCCATGCTACCATTCTTTTTTTTTAAATTATAGATGCAGGTGACTACCCACTACATCTTTTAAACTTATTTAAGGAAAGCTTTCACTTTCCATGAACACTATGGGCCCATAATGATGGACCCATATGCCAAAAGGGAGACAGGGAAGATTTGGCAAATGCTCAGCCACAGGAGTCCGTAAAGATTCACATAATAAGAACACCTCAGATTTCAGGGCTCCTTGGAACTGTACAAAGTATGTGAGCTCAAATATGCCTGCTTTTCATCCTCTGCTGCCCACCCAAAACTTTTAATATAACCAGAGGGACACAATGCATCATCCTCTGCTTAATTTTAACAACAGTCGATGATTATGGTCAAAAAAGGTAGTAAAAACATCAACAGCAAGACTTACCTACTAGACGGAGTACAGTAGCGGCAATGATATCGGGGACAAATGAGACATTAGGATTGCCTTTTTTACGCTTCACCCATTTATCCAGTAGTGGCCACAATTCTTTACTAAGGAAACATTAAAATATAAACTTGTCTGTGTTCTAGTGCACTACAAAAGTTATTATACATTTTTGGTCAATTCACCATTGACCTGTACACCATGCATATAAAGTCGTTTTATAGCAATTACATGAAGCATCCAAGTTAAAGATGAACTTCAGGCAAGCAACTAATTACATAGTTGAAAAACCTATATGTGAACTTTTTAATTTACTAAAGCTTTGTCTAATCTGTTCAGACTTGTGATGTAGGCACCCTTGCAAAACAGCACAGCCAGATGCAGGACATCCAGTGCAATGTCAATATAGCTATGAAGAATAAGCCCCCAGTGGATAATGAAAGAGCAGCACAGTGATCGCTCATCAATAAGCATAACTCCAGTGTGGTGGCTATACACAACAAAGAAAAAAAAATCTAAAATTGGCGGTACAACAAGCACTGCAGTAAAAAATATTTTACAAGCTGCTGTTGTCCAAGACATTCTTGATAACGCGATGGAAATAAAAAAAAAAATCAAGATAGAAGTCAAACTGTAGGGTCACAACATTGTTTAAGAGACACATACAGTAGATTATCACTATGCAGGAAGAGCAGGCACAGACCAGAGAAACCAAGGGTTCCAATTTTTAAGCAATTTCGCCAGTTTGTTTTCTCGTAATGCTAAAAATCGCTCATATTCACGATGAAGCTGTAATATTTGAAGAGTTTTGAAGGGGTTAACACCTACCGAGCCTTTCCAATGTCTAGCTATTGTTAATTTGGCTGCTAGAAGAATTTGGATTACAATGGATCAGAGATGGACAGGGTAAGTATCAATTCTCAAATGCAGTAGACTAGGGGCTGGGATTGAGGAACAGCTAGTAATAGCAGATATGATTTGGAACATTTTCCTCCAGAAACCAGTAAGTTGCAAGACAAAAAGTGTGGATCAAATTGCCTGTGTGTCCACAACCCCTCCAACACTCTGAAGAAGCAGTTGAGGACATTTTGGCCAGACGGTAGATAATTAGATAACGGTGGAGCAGGGTCTTTTGTGCCAGTTGTCACATATCCACACATTTAGAGGCCCTATAAGTCTCTTTAAAAGTAAGTAACCAATGGGATTCAGAGTAAGATGTACCAAAGTCTCATTCCCAGGCCAAAATAGCATTGTCTTTAAGAAAGCTTAGTGTATCTTGAAGAAGGGAGTAAAAAAGCGATATTCCCTTGGATTGCACGTCAGAGGACATAAAATAGGACTTTACTTTGAGTGGAAGTTTAATAAACAGTAATTTGATGTACATACGGAGGTGAGGTATTTGTAGTATTCCGTACTAGGAAAGTGAAATTGGGAGGAAATCTTGGGCAACGGGTTAAGGAAGTGTCCCTCCAAAATGTCTTGGAGAGTGTGAATGCCATCTCATCCAACATTGTAACGAGAGATGAGGTATTAAAGGTTCCAATGATTTCAATGGTATAGGGACAGGCATTAGAGGGGAGTGGGAGAATATGATTGAGATTAATGTTTTCCAAGCCAGGACAGATGCTTGGATGGGAGGCGATAGGGCAGTCGCAGGGGTAGAGATCATTGCCGGCAACTAGTTTACATTCAATATAGAACCATTGTTTATCATTAGGGGAATTAAACTAGCCCCTAAGATGTGTTAATATAGCAGCCAAATAGTAATCTCTAAAATCGATATATCCCATACCTCCCATGGTTCTATTTTTAAGAAGTATCTAGTGGGAACACCGTGCCCTTTTCTGTTGCCAGATAAAGTCTTTGAGGCAAGAATGTAGGGATCTAAAATACTATGAGGGGACAATAATGGGGAGGGTTCTAAAAAGGTATAGAATTTGGGGTAATATCAGCATTTAAACAAGGCCAATCTAGCTGACCATGACAGTGTATGTTTGCCCATTTCTTTCAAGTCTTTTTTAAATTTGTCTAGGAAAGAAAATGGGAGAATAGGTCAGATAGAGAGCTAGTGAGAATAATCCCCAGGTATGAAAGTCCTGAAGTAGACCATTGATATGAAGTTTGGGGTTTTAGGATTTACCTGGTCTCAGCCCCAAGCCCCATATCCAAGAGCAATATTTACTTTGTAGTAGGACACCTGAGCAACCGTTTGTATAACACGGGAATCTTCAGCCAGAGAAAACACCGGATTCGTAAGCATAAGGAAAAACGTCATCAGCAAAACGAGTAGATCTTGTGGGTTTGTTAAACAATGGTGAATCTTTATATTAGGGTATTTGAGCTCATCGCTTCCGCAAAAGGTTCTATGGACAAGTTATATATCAAGGACGATGGGGGGCATGTGAAATGGTTGAGATAAAGTTATTTGTATTTTGTAGGTGGGTGATAGAAATTGAAGTAAAAAAAGTAAGGTAAAAAATATCCCGCTACCTTTCTATGCCCCCATCCTCCAAACACCTACACTCCACATGCACCGCCACGACCTCCCAGATCTGCAATGTGTCCCCGGTTGAGAGAAAGGCAGGGGAGCAATAGGCTGCTGCACCTGCCTGTCAAGATACTGTGAAAAGAGGAAGGCAGGGAAAGGGGCGTGGCTTGTCCAGTGCCGTGTGTGCACATCAATGAACGCAACCAGCACAGCTCAATTCCTGGCCACCTGCTTGGCAAATGAGACACCTGTGAAACAGGAGGGGCGGGGCTGCGATACATCAAATTTAAAAAAAAATCAAATAGGAAGGAAAAAAAAGGTGAATCTCACCAGGAGAATTAAAAAAAAAAAGAAAGAAAAAAAAAAAGAAGGTAATATCACAAAGTTTCATTATCGTCATCTAAGGGTGACGCCTAAGTAAACTGTACACTTTTCAAAAGAGAATTGATTTAAATGCACTGTTACCTTATGATCTTATCATGTGTCCAAACCCATTTACGGTGGCTGCACAGCAAATCAACTGCAAAGACATATTCCCAAATGCTATCTGTTAAGTCTTCTCCATACTTCTCACTCTGCTGAAACTTCCCATCAGGGAAAAGTTGTACTGCCATTAAAACACTGGACAGCAGTAAACTTACATTCATGGGTGGGGTCTGCAAAACAGGAGACATTTTACACGAATTTGTAAAAAGGGATGTACATAAGTGACTAGGTTAAAGTGAAAGTTTAATTTTGGAACCAATGCATTGATAAATCAAAATTTAAGAAAGAAAGTAATAATAATAAAAGAAACAAAAGCTAGAAGACTAAATAGGAATAACTAGGGGGATAATGAGGGGTAAACTGTTGTTTAACCAGTTAAGCTTAAGCCATTTTCACTTATTGATTTATTACAGGTATTTACAGTTGTGTGAAAAAGTGTTGGCCCCCCTCCTGATTTTTCATTGTTTTGCACGTTTGTCACACTTTATTGTTTTTTAGATCATCAAACAAATTAAAATATTAGTTAAAGATAACACAGCATTCTATATTCTCTAAATGCAGCTAAACTGCATGCACCTAAAAATAAAAGTAAATGCGCAGTTTGAATGACACCTTCCTTTAAAAACTGCATGTTTTGTTTACTAGTGTTATCTTTGACTAATATTAAAATTTGTTTGATGATCTAAAAAACAATAAAGTGTGACAAACGTGCAAAACAATGAAAAATCAGGAGGGGGGCCAACACTTTTTCACACAACTGTAAATAGATTAGATAAACAGTAAGGGGCCCAGCACTGAACCTTGGGGGATACCACTAACAACCTCACACCATTCAGAGTATGAATCATTGATCACCACTCTCTGAATATAGTCTTTAAGCCAGTTTTCCATCCAATTACAGATTTAATACTCTATACCTACTGACCTTAATTTATACATTAGCCACATGTGGGTAATTTTGTCAAACGCTTTTGCAAAGTCCAAGTATACTATATCCACAGCCATTCCTCTGTCCAATTTATTACTCACTTCCTCATCAAGAAAGTAGATGAGGCAGCCTGGCTTCCTAACCAATCAGGAAGCCAGGTTTGTGAGTAATGACGTGCCGCCCAGCTTCCTGATTGATTAGGAAGCCAGGCTGCTTACCAAGAAGTGAAGCTGCCTTCCTAGCCAATCAGGAAGCCTATCGGCACATCATGATTGCGAACAGGCGTGGCAGTAATCTGGCCTGAACACTTTTTCACACAGGACCCAGTGGGTTTGGATTTTGTTTTCCCTTAATAATAAAAACCTTCCTTTAAAAACTGCATGTTGTGTTTACTTGTGTTATCTTTGACTAATATTTAAATTTGTTTGATGATCTGAAATATTAAAGTGTGACAAACGTGCAAAACAATGAAAAATCAGGAAAGGGGCCAACGCTTTTTCACACAACTGTATATAGCGCAGACAAATTTACACAGCACTTTTCATAGTACATATATTAACATCAGTCACTGCCTTCAATGAGCTTACAATCTAAGGTTCCTATCTCACATGCATACATACAAGGGCCGATTTAGACAGGAGCCAATTTTACTACCAGCATGTATGTCTTTGGCATGTGAGAGGAAGCTGAAACACATGGAGGAAACCAACACAAGCACAGGGAGAACATGCAAACTCCTTGCAGATAGTGTCCTGAGCGGGATTTGAAGCAGAAACCCCCTGTGCTGCAAGGCATAAGCAAATTTGGATTCAGGGATTCAGCAAGTCTTGTGTTTGGCCTCATTTACACTGATCTTAACAAATATGCATTTATAAAAGTATATAATGATTTTTAATGGTGCCATTCAAACTGCGCATTTACTTTTATTTTTAGGTGCATGCAGTTTAGCAGCATTTAGAGAATATAGAATGCTGTGCATCCAGGTCCCCATGAGGAAACTAGAGTGCAGCCTCTTCTCTCTCAGGCTCCAGTGGTCTAAGAACTTGTGACACTATCAAGTCTAATGCAGGTGCATTAGACGTGAGGACGCCGAGGGACAATCCATGTTCGGAGAGGAGGGGGGCAGAGATGTGAGCACTGACCGCCGCAGGACCGAGTATGAGGTGAGTATATGCAAATAAAGCAGTTGGACCAGATAACCTTCACCCCAAGGTACTTAAGGAATTAAGCCAGGTTATAACAAGACCATTATTCCTAATTTTTAAGGAATCCATAGTGACTGGTAGGGTACCATGTGATTGGCGGAGTGCTACGGTAGTTCCAATATTCAAAAAGGGGGCTAGATGCCAACCAGGGAACTATAGGCCGGTCAGTCTAACATCGGTAGTTTGTAAACTGTTAGAAGGTATAATTAAGGACTATTTGGTAATAATTTATGAATGGGGACTAGCACTCACTACAGAGGCTCCTCCCCATTCAGAAACTAATGATAGTAAAATATTTTTACTATCATTAGTTTGTGAATGAATGAGAAGCCTCTGTACTGAGGCTTCTCATTCATTGAGTGCTGGGGCTGCAGAAAAAGAAATTGAGGACTTATGTTTTCTCAATTTATTTTTCTATTTCAAAAGGGAAATGTCAGGGGTCTATTATCCCCCAGATATTTCGCCGCAGCCCCCCCAACAGTAAAAAAATAAAAATAAAAAAGTATTAAAAAATAAATAGAAAAATGTAAAAAAAAAATTAAATAAAAATGTAAAAAATAAATAAAAAAAAAGCACAACTGACCTATATAGGTTGGACTTGATGGACGTATGTCTTTATTCAACCCCAAATACTATGTAAGCATGTATATCTTCTTTTTTCCAGCCTCTAGAGAAAAACAAGCAGTTATTTTTACAATTCCTTGAGTTCCTCCAACTCTTGTATTTATTTATTTTTATAAATCAGCTGCATAGCTTTATCCATGTCTGGAGACAATGTAGCTGTAAAAGGAACACCATACCATAAAGACAAACTCGCAAGTGTTCCAGTATGAGCAATTAACTTGCCTTTTCCCAGTTAAGGTAGGCACTCAGACAGGAGCCAACATCATCTTTTGCCAAGTTCTTCAATACAGCCTGTATTGCTTTACTGACAACGCCGTGTGTAGAAATGATATCATTCCATGAACTCACAATAAATAGTAGCAATCTATCAGGGTCTGGAAAATCTAAACAAAGACAGATAAGAAAATAAAGCAAACAATTTTTTAAACCTAGGTCGTGTTTCACATCAACCATGTACTGTATGACCGAGAATACATTTTTCTTTCACAAAGGTTTTATTTGGTTTTTATAATTTTTGTTTTCACATAAAGGTTACAATCAATAAGAGAACAGAAATAGGGCATGCAAGCCCCGCAACAAGGAACACAAATTGAAAGTATGCAGTCATAACATTGTGCAGCGCCGAGAATACATTTTTAACCCTTTCGCTGCCAAGGACGTACGTTCCTTGTGTTGCAATTAAATATACACCTGTATCATTTTATCACAACACAAACACCAAAACAATTTTTTACATAAGTCGATTATTTACAGTTTTGCATACCTTCATTTTTTTACCTTTTCGCAAAAAGGCGCAATTACAAATTTGCTAATATTTGTTATTTATTAACTCAATACAGTTTTATCTTTTAGATTTAGTCAGAAAATTATTTTTTTTGTGCACGGATACTGATTTTGGTGTGTTTTAACAATTGAATTGTGTATTTTTATCGGTTTAATATTAATTTGAGAAACATTTGCGCAATTATCGCAGGGCCTACAAATTTAGTATCACCATCTTTTTATTCTACCGGGCCTGCGCTTTCAGAAAATATATGGTTTGGGGGGTCTTTTACAAACGCTAGCAACGCAGCAGTTGAAAATCAAACCAATAGGAAAAAATTGCAGAAAATTCAAAAATGGCTTGGCCAGCTGATTTGAAAAATGTTCCGGAGGGCTTGGCAGCGAAAGGGTTGAAGGGTCTGATGATACCTCTGCCCTTTAGGAGTGTTCCTAACTGCATCGAAAGGGCAAGGAGCGTTAACATTTTATGCGTTTTTGTATTGTGTGTTTTTAATTTTGCCATCAGTAGTGGAAATTGCATCTTCAATAGAAATGAATAGTAGGGCATGTAAAATACATATTATCCACTTCAGCTCCAGCACCTTATGGATCGAAGCAATTTTTATATTTCCACAAAGGGCCTTTTGTCATTATGATACTGGAATAAAATGTCAGCCAGACTATATGCCTGGTTGTTATGGTCTTCTCCTCAGCTCTTTTAACCTTGTAGAGAGCTGTGTGGGAGATCTGGGAACAAGCAAGAGATACTCTAGGTTACCTTGCTGCAAGTGAGCTTGGTATAGCAAAATAATGACACTGCCGACTGGAAAATCTAGAGTTTTGAATATCTAGATTGTTACATAAATGCGTTTGGCTGATGATATTGAAGGGTATGTCATAGGCTAGGCATTAGCCTTTCCCTCGAGTACTCACCGGACCAGGATGGACAGATTTCATGCCAGGGGCGTATCTGCTGCAAGGCAAACAAGGCATTTGCATTGAGCTGCACTCTAAAAAGCCCCCCCCAAACCAGTGAGGCAGAGCCTCACCTGCCATTACCGGTATCAGCACCGATACTGGTATCTATATCGGTGGCGATACTGGGCATTTTCACGAGTACCCTTACTCGTGAAAATGCCTCCATACTAATTGCCGATACAATTTTAAACACAGACAGCTGACGTATGGTTCCGTGCACGCTGTGTACCACACAGCAGCCTTCTGGGGACTTCGTGGTGCCTGTTTACAGGGCCGGCCGCACATCTTCTTCCTGTGGAACCCTGTTGCCCGCACCCACCCACAAGGCCTTTCGGACCTCTGGTGAGCCCGCACAGCCCACCTGAGTCCCTAAAGAGACATCAGGTCGCCACCCCTGAGCAACACAGTATGTAGCTTTATATTATTCTGCATTGCTAAATAATGTATTACTGGGATTTGTAGTCCTCTATAGCTAGTGGTATTCTGCATTGCTAATAGCGCAACCCGTCAGAAGCAGAAGATAAAAGCATGTGCGCTGTATTCAGCAGCTCACAGGTTAAGGAAAATGTCTTAAAAAGAAAGGAGTGGGGGAAATTTAGATTGGTGGGGGGTGGCCGAGTTTAGTCTTGCCTATGGCAGCACAAAACCAAAATACACTACTGTTTCATGTATTGGTACAGACAAGTTCCCATGTAGACTTTACCTTATTAATTACTCCCCTTCTACCACATTCTCTGGGACCCAATTGTTCTATGTGTCATGTGACCTAATCTTTCTTGTGCAGTGAAAAATGTGTCTGCTACTAACATGGTGTGGCTGAATCTATGCTGCCTCCTGCTTGCTAGAGCTAAATTCAACATGTGAATGCTAAACACAGCTGTACTAATGTAAACTAAAGTGGGATTATTCTGTAACACCAAACTACCTCATTCAATACATTTCCTAATAATTATACTAACTGGCTATTAGAGTATATGGCGTTAGGATTGCTTGTTGTCTAAACACTTAAGAAACCTGGCCAGTGAGAGATGTTAATATAGACTGGGTAAGCATTAGAGGTTGATATCAATGCTGTAAAATGTACATTTAAAGTGTATTTCCACTTTTGCAGCCAAATTGAGATAACACCTAATTTCTATTTGTTCCCATTCAAATTAAATAACTTAAAAATGTAAACAGTAATTTTTTTTTAAAAGTGCTTTATAGTTGCTTAAAAATCATAGCTGGCTTCCTCCGTGTATGTTTTGTTAAGCAGGAGGTTGGGGGAAGGTATGTTTACGCAATTAACCATGTATGTGAGGTTCTGGCAGATTTCATTGCCAACTTTAAAATAAAATTAAACAGTCTGTCCTAACAAAATGTTAAAGACTTAAAAGCACTGAACGTTAATGAGAAAAGGCTCAGTTTGTCCCGTTTGAGCCCCTACTTTCACTTTAAAACGGCTAAGCCTAGCTTGGAATCTGCACAAAGGTCTTCACCAAATAAACAGCTAAGCTGCAAGAAGCCTGTTTTAAAAAAAAAATAAAAATGTTTTTATTTATGCTGCGTGAATGGGAACTCATGACAAACCTATAGTGCGGTTTTCTCAAATTTGATAGTAAAAGCGGAACTACACATTAAATAGTGAAAGTATTCCTAGAGAGCCCTGAGACAGGGGAGAAAAGAAAATCTGTAGTGGGTTGTCTAAATATTGTGTTATCCTGTTAGTGTAGGGGAACTAGAAGGCTTACAGCTGAGCGCAAATTAAGTGGCACAACATATACCCCTTGAGCATGGACAATGAAAGAAGTCAGTTCAGTCTTGGCTGGCAGGGGGGGTTCTTTCAAAAAGTGAGAGCTCTAGAGAGGCATCAGCCTTTCTCTTCAAATAGCAGCGCAAGGATGGAAAAAACTGGGAATGTGAATGAGGATGCTAAATCAGTGTATGGGAATAAAGATCTAGGCCATCTAGAAGAAAAACAGAGCATCCAGCAGTAGTCTGGCAGGTCAGAGTACAACAGTCGCCTGAGCCAATCTGGAACTCTGAGGATCACCGGAATGCCCTCTATCTCAAACCTACTGAGCAGATCAGAAAGGGGTTATAGAGGAGGAAAGGTATAGATCTGGCTGTACAGATCCCACAGAGTTACCAGAGCATATGCCGCTCCCACATCAGGAACCTATATCTCGAGACAAATCTGTCCAGTCAGTTTGAGAATACCAGAAGGTTTTCATTTGTCGTCCCCCAGCTGTGACAAAAGTCCTGGAAAACCTCTGGGCATAGTCCCTCTAATCCAAGCCCTTATGGAAGAAGAAATCTGCCTGCCAGTCATTTACCTTTGAGATGTAAAGAGTGGGCAAGGCTGTAACGCACAGTTCTGGCTAAGATCGTTGCTTGTAACTGGTCTTGCTGTGACAAGTCCTTTGATTCATGCTTGATCCAATACAATCTGGTTGGATGACCCTACAGCCAGGAGGAGCCAGCATTGTAGGTTCAGCCAAATCGCTCAGAGCTCCAGAGATTGGATTCCTCCAATGACCCTGCACCAACAAGGTATCTAGGACTAGGTCTCCCAAAAGATAAGGAAAACCTGTGCCCCAGCATTGTGGAAACAATCCCCCCACACCCAATATAGCTATGTGGCTGACCAAGGTGAATGATATTTGGCACATGGAGGATCTGATTGCGTCTAGGAAGGGGATGGTGGAGAAGATCAATAAAACTTGGTTTTATTAGACTGAATTTGTTTATTAAGCCAAATAAACCACCATGTTTTCTCAGACCCTAGTTTCTGCCTCATAGTGTTATCAGGCAGAGATGCTATGTTTGATTGGTCTTTCCTGCTGCTGGGGGAGGTCTGCTTTATGGTTATGTGTTTATGTTGTTTTTTGTGCCTTATTTCTTCTCTTCTTACACTTTATCATGCATGTAACTATCTGTTCTTTCCTTAGTCCTAACTCATTGGTGTTTTCAATGACCAACCTTTTAACATTTCATGCTATGAGCTACACCAGGGCTCAAAATTTCCACTCGCCTGCTGGCGGGCGAGTGGAAATTTGGGTCTCCGAGTACCGGTCCGCAGGCCAACTCTGGCCCGCGAGCCCGTACTATGTGACCCGCAGACAGCTGACATGTCAGGCACACGGTCGCAGGCCGCGTACCTTGGGGGGGTGGTGGTGTAACGTTGAGAAGTGTATTATTGTGTTCTAAGCTGCCCATACACCTTACAACCATCGCACGACTTTCGTTATGCGGTGGTTGTAAGGTCATTAAAATCTCGTACGATCTGCCCAGCTTGGACAGGCAGATCGTACTTGCGATCATCGCAAGCCCTCCCCGCTGAGGGGCGGGCTTCCGATGATTGCAGTGCTGAGTGGGCAGTTCGTCTTCCGACCACGCCACCGACCCACCAAAAATCGTACAATTTTTGGCAGGTTTTCCAGCGTGCTTAGAAGACGAAAGTTGTGCGACCTTACAGTAGAAGCGGTCACACGCTGCCCATACACCTGCCGATTATCGTACGATTGCAGGATCACCCGCGATTATCGTACGATAATCAGCAGGTGTATGGACACCTTTAGTGTAAGTGTATATTAGGCCCCATTCACACCTACAGTATATTTCAGGTCTGATTACAGATTCCTGTGTCAGGAACTTGCGTTTTCCTGCAGCAGGAATCCCTAATTTGCCATTTACAAGCGGCAACTATCATAAGATAAGAATTATCATAAGATTATTTAAGAGGGTGTGTTTAGGGGCAGAGTTAAGGCCGGGCCAGGGTAAGGGTTAGGTGGGGCAACTGGTGGCTAGTAACTCTTAAGGCCTGGCTAGTAGCTCAGGACTTAGAAAATGTTGAGCCCTGAGTTACACTATCTTATCCTCATATGACGTCCTGGTATATTGGGTTCTAATATGGGACCTTCTTTAAAGACTGAAGTGTAAGGTCTGCTTTAAAAAAAAGATATTGCCGTATATATATGAAAAAAAAAACGAAAAAAACACCACATTAACACCGTAGACAGTATTTTGATATAGTAAACATACAAGTGTACCTTCTTTAAGTATGCTATAACAGAGAATACGTGCTCTTTCAATATCCCCGAGCTGACGACACAATCCCACATAGACTCTACAAAGGGCCTGGAGATATGTTGTTGACATTGATTTCTTGCCAGTTTTGATTTTTTTTAAAATAACTTGAAGAAAACGGTCTGCTAAACTCTAAATGAAGATAGGAAAAAAAAACCCATAAAAGTTATATAACAAATAAAAATATACATCGCTAGCTAACAAAAGCCCCAGTCTTTTTGGAAGTCACAAAGACACTTTGCGTGAGGGGATTTATAAGTATAGGGAGAGATGTGATGCACAAAATGGACAATATCTAAACAAAAAATGTAACAATACTCATTAAATTTGTTTTATGTTGCAACCACGAAAAGTACAAAACCTTACATGAAGCGAATATTTAATCCCTTAGTCCGATCAACGTTGGCTCGTGCCCATTTACTTTAATATCACCCATATACACTGATATACAAAATGACATAAACAATGATAAACTCCACTTTATAATAAACATTAAAATATAATACCCCAAAAACACATGACACAGGGACCTCCCTTGTAAGGACAGCACCAAGTCTTCTAGGCATGGAATGAACAAGTTGGCGACATATTGCAACATCTATCTTTTTCCATTGCTCAAGAACGACCTCTTTTAGAGCCTGGATGCTGGATGGAGAGTGATGCTCAACTTGTCTCTTTAGAATTCCCCAGGGACTTCCGGTTCCGGCGCCTGATGTAGCGGTCGCAGAGTGAGGAGCTCCCGCACAGCCAGGGCTAAACCCGATATAAAATCTTACCCCAGCAACTCACACGAACCGTTCTGCTCCCGGCAACAGCGACTGCACCTCCAGGAGCATGGACAAGTTCCTCGCTAAACGCAGAACCGGTCCGCGCAGCAAGAACACCCCTGTCCGGGGCAAACGACCCCAGTCACAGCTCAAGATGGCCACCACTCCGGACATGTGGGATATCAGCGCCTCCTCGGATGAAGACATGTCGGCTCTATCTGACCTGATAGCAGCGTAAGTGGCCAAGTTGCTCCGTCCTACTATACAGGACGCCGTCAACAAGGCGGTGGCCAAGGGCATACAATCCCTACGACAGGATCTGCTACACCAGGCCCAAAGGATTACCGAGGCAGAATCCCGGATTGCGACCCTGGAGGAAGGAGCGGATTCCTGGACATCCCACCTGCAATCCACTACTAAACAGGTCCAACTTCTACTGGACAAGGTAGATGACCTTGAGAACCGTTCTCGTCGGAAACAATATAAGGATTGTAGACCTACCGGAGTCCTACCGACCATCGATGCTGGCATCTATTTGCGCAAATAACATCCCGGATCTCCTGGGCCTTGACCCAGGATGCAAGGTGGGACCTCCTAACCATGAGAGGAAGGGTCCGCGCCCTATAATAGCTCGTTACCTGGATTATACTGATCGCTTGGCGGTCATGCAAGCATTTCGCGCCAAAAAAGAACTACATTTGGATGGACATCGCCTTCTCATCTTTGCGGACTACTCAGCGGAAGTCACCAGGAAACGAAAAGCGTTTAATAGGGTATGCTCTATCCTATACCAAAAAAAGGGGCAGATTTACTCTGGCCTACCCGGCGACTCTTCGCTTCCAAACGGAGGCTGGATCTCCCCATGTATTCCAGGACCCCGAGGCTGCAATCAACTTCGTGGAGAAACTGGAACCGCCTGAAGCATTCAAGTCGAGCGGACGGTCTCCTCTCCCTCAACGCACCACCACCCCAGCAAGGAAATCAGCAGTACGGTTACAGATGACGCCCACCGACTCACCCTGAATTGGGGCGCTTGCAATCACATATGTACATACCAAAGGTACGTCGGATTTACTTATATCGGGGGGAGCATGTGGAGAAAGGAAAAGACTTAACCAACGGCAACCCTTTCTGCCCCTATGTGGGGCTAGGATCAAAAGGGCACTACAAATTTGGTTGATCCAAAAATCCTCCTCGCCCCCATCTTTCTTCTTCGACGGGAACCAACTCCCTTACTCCCTGTGATAGGAAGCAGCAACACCACCATCTAGTGACTGTTCATGTTACCGCAGGTGGTCAAGCATAACGTTGCCTTATTTGACGGTGCAGGCGGTACGCCGAGACAAATACAGCTACACTAAGTACTAGAAATGCGGTAGCAACTATTTTCTCGCCAGGACTGAGATCAGGGTTAATTTTCAAACCACTAAAACATTACCTGGGTTTATGCCCACTGACAAGCGGAAGTACATTAGCTCACTCTGTAGGGCTATAGAGGGAAAAAAGCGAAGTCACGAAATGTATATTACTGTTTTACGTGTTTTTTTTTTGGTTTTAATGTTTTGTTCTTTGGAAACCCAGGGTCATGGTCCTGTTGACCGACGACCACTGGCCAACACAGTCAGGATTTATGCACCTATGTCTCATAGGTTCTCAACGCTAACAGTTAATAAGAAAACATGCAATGTTTCTGTTTCTATAGTCTGTGAGGTACAATGGGCTTCCGAGCCAACGTTACCAGGGGGGCGAAATTCATTCTACCTAGCGAATATGACCATTCTTGTCATTTTGTCAAGGTCTATGATATTAATTTTGTATATGTTTTCCTTTGATTTCTTCCAGTTAGTCCGCAACCTAACATGAGAGTGATCTCCTGGAATATCAATGGCTTGAGATCCACGGCCAAGCGCATGATGGTCCTCCGCCATCTCAAAAAGATGAAAGCGGACATAGTGTTGCTGCAGCAAACCCATCTATCTAGGGAGGATATAGGTAGATTACAAAAAATGTGGGTAGGAGAAATCATCAGTTCCCCTGCAGTGGGAAGAAGGGCCGGGGTAGCTATATTGTTTAATAAATCTCTAAATTACAAAGTGGATCAGGTAGATGCAGACCAAGAAGGGCGCAAACTGAGGGTTTAACTTAGGATACATAAAATAATATCATTATAAAATGTATATTTTCCGAATGCGCCGACAGCCACCTATTTCTAGGAGATCACTTAATGGATATTACAAGATGATAATCCGCATAAACTTATAGGGGGCGATTTGAATTCCGTCATGGTTCTGAAGGAGGATAGAACGGGCAAAGCAAACCTCAACATGGGCTCAGGACCTCTCCATCACACTCCTTTACATGACCTGTCAACCAATGCCAATCTCATGGATGTCTGGAGGGGCAGTGGAACGTGAGTACACACATTATTCTTCAGTCCACACCTCCTTTGCCAGGCTGGACTACTTCTTGGCAACGGAGACGTACGTACGTTGCTGCCAGAAAGAGGAAAGCCAGGGCCCAATTCCTTAAAGCTAGTTTGTCCCTTCGCCTAGCTCAGATACAATATTCATTATCGGGCTCTGAAGAACACAGGGAAGCGTGGACCAAAGCAAAGCTAGACTTTTAATGGTGTAACACCCAACAACATCTATACTAATCACACACACTCTAAATTAAAATTCCACAAATTTGGAAATAAATCTGGAAAAATGATGGCTAACCTGGTCAGACAACGCAACTCCAGGCTACACATAACATCTATATACGGTCAGAATAGGGGACTACCACCTCCGACCCGAAACGCATTAATCAAATATTCGGGAAATTCTATAGTCAATTGTATTCGGCGACACATGTGCACAAGGGCTTAGGCGACCTCTTTTTGAAGTCGCTTTCGATACCCAAAATCCACAGCGAAGAAATGAGGACATTTCCCTGGAGGAAATTCAGAAGGCTATTAAAATCTCCTCCAAATGGTAAATCTCCAGGCCCAGATGGGTATTCGAATGAATTATATAAATTGCTCCAGGAGGAAGTCTCCCCTGTCCTCCTCTGGGTTTTTAATAGCATGTGGAAGGGAGGAGAATATATGAAGTCAGGCTCGGAATCGTATATAAAAACTACTGCCCAAAAGAGACAGGGATTTGACTCTTCCTGGCTCCTATAGACCGATATCATTGATAAATGCAGATGCAAAGCTGATATCAAAAATCATAGCAGATAGACATGCAAGGTTTGTACCACGCTTGATATCCCCAGCCCAAGTATTCTTTTCTGCCCGTGCGTGCCCGCTAGGGGGCGCGCGCGAGCAGAAAAAAATTGCTGTCTCGAGACGGCAACCCGCAGATGCTGCAGTGCCGTCCGTCCGTTTTTTTACTACGGGCGGACGGCAAGAGGTTAAAGGCAGGTCAGCGGTAGCCAATGTACGCAAATTACTATCAGTTCTAGAGCACGCCAAAGGTCATACAGAAGCATCTCTCGCCCTCATTTCTATAGACGCCGAAAAGGCTTTTGATAGCATACAATTCTCCTGGCTATATAGAGTGCTTGATGAGATGGGGTTTTCAGGCAGGTTCACTGCTTTTCTGGCAGCAATGTACGCCTCCCCCTGCGCTCGTATTTGTACACCTGGGAACATCTCTAACCGCTTCCCCTTACTAAGGGGGTCCAGACAGGGCTGCCTGCTGTCTCCGTTGTTGTTCAACCTGGCATTGGAGCCGCTGTCATTATACTTTCAGGGCACTCCAGACATCCACGGGATCCCCTTCCAAAAAACACGACTTAAAATAATGTTGTTTGCAGATGACATCATACTATTTTCCAGCAATCCGTCCAGCTACATTCCTATCATTCATGCCACGTTCCAAACATACCAAAAATTTTCAGGCCTGACCATAAGCGCATCCAAATCAACCATACTACCGCTCACCTCACGAGCGCCGACCACGGTAGGCCACTCCACTATATTCAATGTTGCCAAGGGATCCATTGTATACCTTGGCCTACACATAGGCACCACTCCATCTTCACTTTATACTCTTAACTATCCCCCGCTCTTTGATAAAATCAGAAAGAAGCTGGTGGCATGGCAGGGCCTCCCTCTCTCGCTCTTTGGCAGAATACATTTAATCAAAATGATATCCTTTGCCAAGCTATTATACCCGATGCAAACTCTACCCCTTCTCCTAAACAAGGATGTCACATCCCTTAATAAAAATTTCTCCGCCTTTATTTGGCAAGGGAAAAGGGCAAGGATAGCCTTACGAAAATGATTCCTGCCCAGGAGCGAGGGAGGTATGGCCTTCCCCAACACTAGATTATATAACTTGAGTTGTCTCCTCAGACACTCAGCGGACTGGATAGGCT